GCCGTCAATAATTATTTTTAAAACGAATTATAACTTCAATAGATTTTTTAATACTTTTTATAAATACATTATAAAAAGGTTATTAAATTTTAAACGTGGGAAATTAATTTTCTTTACAAGTCGTTCTTTTCAAATGACAATTGACAGAACCCGGCCATTCGAGGTCATTGACGTTCCTATTCTTATTGGAAATTCAAATCGCTATTTCCTTGCTTGACGATTTCACCCAGCTCACACCTTCAACAAGCCGTTCCTTAAGAACTTCATTCCACAAACAGATGGAGAATGTTGTTATAATTGAATAAAATGTAAGAAAGTGTGTCTGATCAATGTTCCAAATGTTTGTCACCTCGGGCATGGCTGTGTACGCTGTGTGGAGCACGCAGTCGACAATGTCGCGTTTTAGTTCACATCGAAGAGAAATATGCGAAGAAACACTCATCGGCCGTTACCATGTTAATAGTTTTATTAATCCCTTTCTTCGCGAGTGCCGAGTGGGTGGAAATATCGCAGAATAATTACAGGAAAGAGCCCTATCGCAATGTGATGCATTTATCCACAACAACCGCGAAGAATGACATGTACGGCAACCACTCGATTTCGGAACATCAATGGAGCAAAGGATACGTCGATAGAGTTCCTAGCATCTCCGGTATACAACGAGAAAGAACAAAAGAAGGTGAAAGAGGGCCATCCGTGAAAATTCAAAGGATTCCCTTAGAACATGGGTTTCAAATGAATAAGGTGAAATCAGGTAATTCTATAAAAACGACTGTAGGGTATGAAAATATTGATGACATTTCTTACTTCAAAACAACACAATATCGTCCAGCTGTCGGGAGGGAACATCCAAAGACCCATAAAAACAGCACAAGAAACAAATTTACCATAAACGAGAGTAATAAAGATAACAGCTATAAACAAATTGACCCAGATAATGTTAAAATAGAAAAAGTTGCGAGCGATACATACGGATCGGAAATGAATCTCGAAAACCTATCTAGAACACCGCAAATAGATGTGTCAGAGAAGGATAATGCTGCATTCCATAAATTGGCTGTAGACAAAAAAACGCAAAACACACATGAGAAAGCCTCAAATGACAAACAAAAGCATACACGACCCAAACACGAAAATGAAACCAAAAGCAACGGAATAGATACAATAATTAAGTTTTTTAAAGTTGTTTCGCAAACAATACAAAGAGGTACAAGAAGAAATTTGAGTGATAAAGTAAGATTTTTAATAGGTTTGAAAGAATCCCTATTGGCAAATATAGGTAAGTTCAATTGCTAAAAACACTAATGCTCTGTTTGGGCCACGCAATTGCTTTCAGAAGCCTGATATCCCGATAGACAACACTATACCCCCGCTACAACAATATATCTCGTAGTTTTCGCCTGGTGAGTGTGGTAACTGAGGCCCACATTTTAAAGGCTTGCCAATACATCTACAGCCCAGACAGGTGAAGCACCTACTAACTTATCAAATTTTCACATTAAAAATAATAAGAAAATTAAAATATTATTATAAAAAGTCGGTGGCGGCTTATGATCATACCACAGAAATGAAAACTTATATACATATTTTACTATTATAGTAAAATGCATTAGTAATAATTACTAACTTATTTAGTTATTCGCTTATTTAGCTCATTATTCACTTGAAATACTATACTGATCAGGTGAAAAAAAAATTTGATGGCTCCGTGGCGCATTTGCTCAGATATTGGCTTCGGTGTCGGGGGTCGTGGGTTCGATTCCCACACGGGACAACTATTTGTGTGATCCACAGATAATTTTTTCGCATCTGGGTGTTTTTCCACGAGAAAATTTATGTTTGTGAAACGTCCTTACAACACAGGATAATGTTATGCTTAAGTAAGGGCAAAAAGGAAAGAAAAAAAAGGCAATAATAAAAATTTTATTTGAAACATGTAGAAAAAAATTGTCGAAATTTGCGGGCAAATTTCGTCGCTGCCAGGGAATCCGCGGATTACGCTGTCAGACGCTCTAGCCACTGAGCCAAATGGTCAATATCATCTCCGCGCGAAAATCTCGACACCTTATCTACTTTGTTTTTATTGTTTTACATTTATATATTTATTATTTTAAGAAATACTGAGCGTCGCCTAATATGCTTTCTTTACACCAAACATACTTCCTCGAAATGCATTTTTACAATGAATAAATATTGGAACGATGCGCCCCTTGCCGAACAGAACGTGACTGATGACGAATAGAGCCGTTACCGTATACTGACAGTGTTTTTTTTTTTTCACATAAAAAAATATTGTTTTATATAGACTTATGCCGTCTAGGCTTCTTCGTATTGAAATTATTTCCGCAAGCCACAACTCAAATCATATTATTATAGTAAGCCATTGGACAGGCATTGGCCAATTTCAGATACTTAGGTCAGAAAGAAATTAAAATGGAATTACGCTTCTGCAGAATAAAGGTATTATTTTTATTACTCAATTCATTATTATGTATATTTAGAAGAACGCATAGAATCAGTGTTCCCTGATGATAATGCGCAGCATCGACGACGTAGATCCTCCAAAGCTGAATCGCGTGGTCACGTGGAGTTCCCCTCGTCTGAGAGCGCTTTGATGTCCATTTCGTTTCTCACATTTGCAGTATTCCTCATCAAACTTGTTTTGGTATGTCTCAAACATGTACTGGATGATTAAAGCATTTTTTTTTGTTTTGTAGATTATTATATCTTGTTTTTTTTTTTCATTCCAGCAAGTAATACACAAATACAAGGCGAAAACAATGATGGTAACCCCAGCAGTTGTTGCGACGGTGGGTCGAGCACGAAAAGTACTAAGTACAACCCCACATAACTGATATCGTATGCTAAGATCTATGTCAAAACAAATGAATATAGTCAGCGAAAAATTGAAACTATAATCAATAACGTTTTAAATAAAATGTTTTTTTTGTCTTTTACTATTCTTTTATTAGCGATTAATCATATTATGAAGTATTTGGAAAAACACAACTCGGTTCCACCGCTGGGGAAAGGCCTCCTCTGTAAAGAGTGTATGAGGGCATAGTTCCCCACGCAACCCCACTGCGGACTTCACATATTTTCGAAACATTTTTTTGTTGTTATTGAAGTTTACTTTTTTAGGCGCGTTATGAAAAAATGAAGAGAGTGAAATTTTAAGATGCGCGTGCATCACTGGTACACAAAAGTCACACCTTTGAAGCTGCCCGCTGAACCGCTAGATGGCAGCATATGCTCAATCACATTCGCCCATTACAGTTTATTATTATTTTGTTTTTAATGATGCCAAAGAAGTATAACTTCTCACGCGCGTATATAAGTACACGCACCCATTGTTCTTCCGTAAATATCTACCTATTTATTAATAATTAGTTAAATTTGCTGTGCTTGAGAGAATTATAATGAAAAATTTTAACAACTCAACCGATCAAAAATCTTTTCTATACATATAATAAAAATATAAGTGATTGTTGTTTGTACATGGAAAATATTTGAGAAAATATATTATTGGAGGCATTTATCAACGCAATAGAACCCAAAACAATGATTTTTAAAATTTTGTCTGCTTATCCCTCTGTTTGTCTGTGTGTTTGTGTGCGCTAATCTCAGGAACGGCTTAATCGATTTGGGTGCAGCTTTCACTAATGCATTTTAGTAAGCTTCACTTAACATTTAGTGTAAGTTTTATTTAAATTGGTTCATATTTAAAAAAAATATATCAACTTGAAGAACCACTTTGAAGATTTATGCGATAAAATGCTGTATAATAGCTACAGTTGAATTGGATGAAATAAAATTATGTATATAATATAGTGTCTGTAAAATGATAATGATTGTAAGTTTATATAATGTTAAACAAAACCGGCCAAGTTCCAGTCGGACTCGCGCACGAAGGGCATGTTGTATGTGAGCCCCACTTAAATATATTTTTATTGTTTTTTAGTATTTGTTGTTATAGCGGCAACATAAATAAGAATATATTAAGAACAGAAATTTGGGGCCGGATATGTCGATAAGACATTCCGTGGCCCTTTCTTTAATCTTGTTTCTTATGTAGATGACTGTTGGTTAATAAAATAACCATCCGGTATATCTGTGACATTAGGATGACCATTCTGATCAATTCAGAGAGTTTAACAATTCTTTTGGTAACTCAAATAACATTTGGAAAGCCATTTAACAGCTGATTAGTTGACTTCTACGATGATCAGTGTTTCAGAAACCGGGCGTAAATCTCATTCACAACGAATTGGTCACTGCCACACGGAGCACATTCTCCCGTCACTCTGTCGACTTCTATGGCCCCTAGGCGTTCGACATATAAGCTACACAAACTGTCTCACGAAGATCATAATCGCAATGGTACATAAAGTAGCGGACCGAGTTCATGCCTGAAGAGTTAGGCGAACATGTAAAGCTGTCACTCGGACTAGTACTGAATGAAAAAACTGTTCAAGTTATTTTCCCAACCAGATCTGTGAGAAAGTACGACCAAATAGTCGTTACGCTAGATAAAAAAACACATTAGAAAATGACTTTTTAGTATCTAAATGAGTCATTAAATAGCAACCTTTTTACTTTCTGAATAGGTTCTATTATCGGGGGCTCCTGAATCGTGATCATGCCCCTTGGTAATCGAATTGTCTATCTTTCTTTAAAAATTCTGAGTGGTCGCGGAGGTGCAGCGGATCGGAAGGCATGTCGTCGTGCAGCTACGTTGTTTCTCCTGAGTTGGCGGTCGTTTACCCATGAACCTATTCCGACGAAGGTATCAAAGCCTCCAGACTAACAGCAAGTACACGTAAACAAAAAAAAAACAATATTTACGAACTAATTATTTGATAATCTGTAGCAAACATAAACTTTTCTTGTGTCAAACGGAACGTCTTCTTCATTATTATTATTTTAAAAAGTTAACCAAAATAACAACCAATATAAATAAATAATTGATAGATTTATTAAATGTGTATTATAGGTTAATAATGAATAACAGTACCGAGCAAATTTTTCTAGTGAATTCATCTGAAAATCAACCAGTAGTCGGGCCTAGCAAAGTTACTGAACTATCAGCTACAAGCCAAGTTAACCTCGAGAGTGAGAAAAAATTACATTTGTACTTAGAATCTAAATAATATACCATTCATAAATAGTTTTTTATCTTTCTTAATGCACATTTCTAATAATCTAATTTACATTTCTTAACATTTCAAAGTAATTTTTTATTATTGATATCTTCTCCCCATCGTGTATACAACATTAAAATTTACAACATTTATTATTGTTTACAGATGTTGAAGATTTCTCAAATGTTTGCCGTACTTGTGCGACCATCACAGAATTTGTTATACCAATATTTATGGGAGAAGGCCTACAAAATAATCTAGCGGATAAAATACACAAACATTTGCCAATTCAGGTAATATAAAATAATTTCAATTTATAGTTTACTAGGTTTTCGCCCGTGGCTTCGCTCGCGTTCATGCCCTTAAATAAATATCTTTCAACCTTTTACAACACTTTTTTACAATTAAAAAATGGCCTATGTCTTTTCTCAGGCTCTAGACTATCTGTGCACCAAATTTCATTTAAATTGGTACAGTACTTTTAGAGTAAAAGCGAGATAGACAGACAGAGTTACTTTCGCATTTATAATATTAGTATGGATAGAGAGATATTACTTTCGATTATAATACAAATTTTGCTATACATATAAATATCATAAAATAAAGCATTGAAATATCGAGTTATTGCAAGATTAAAATCTTTAGGATTATCTATCTTGAGATAGTTAAATTACTAAGCATAGCACTTACTTATCCTCTTTGTGTATTGATTCAATTTAGTTCCTGCTTCTATGCATTTATAAGTAAAGGAAACAAGCATCTATAACCTAGAAGTTCCAGTTCTTAAAATGGCAATTGTTAATAATATATTGCTCCAACAAAATTGTCTTTCTAACATTTCAATGAATCTTTTTCTTGCTCAGGTATCAGAACATGATGTACTGCCTAGGGTCGTATGCTACCAATGTGCAAGCACACTGCTGGCATGGCACGAGCTTGTACAATGCTGTGTACAAGCAGACACAGCACTGAAGACCCGTCTTGCAGTATTACTATCTGTATGTTTGATTTTATATTCTGTTATTTATAAGGGAATATGATGTCGAAAAATAAATTTTATTATTCATATAGCCCAATTCAAATGCTTATTAGTATACTTCACTAATAAGCATTTTATTTAATAATATAATACATCATGATACATTTGGATGACACAAAATTATTAATAAGTTCAAGATATGATATAGAAACTGTTATGTAACTTACTTTGACTTGGTTTCGTTTTCAGAAGGAAAACAACACAAATCACGACGAGAAAAGCTCAGAATCAGAAACAAAAGGAAAGTAAGTATTTAAAAAATGTTGCTTTTTGAATTAACATTCACTATCCACATATTTACATGTACTATTTCAGGTCAGTAACAACATTAAGTGTTACAAGTATTAAAGATATGTTAGCCAAACATTTCCAACTATCGGAAGTGGATTTTGAGACCTCTTCTTTGGAGTTTGTTTGTGAAAAATGTAACAACCAAACAAACATTCCAACTCTACCGAGCTTTATTGAACATCTAGAGTCTCAGCACAATACAGAATTTGCAGATAAATTGGGAATGGAATTATTCATAAAGGAACATGTATCTATTGTTGAAATACTTGTTGCTGAAGAACCAACAACCGATGTAGAATCAGAGAAAGAAGAGATATCTGTTACAAAACTTCCAAGGTTCCATTGTCCCTTCTGCGAGAGTTCATTTTCGTCCACAACTCGTCTCGCGTGCCATTTGAATCGGCATGTAGATATTTCCATCGAGGACGGCGTGCGATGCTGCGATGACGTTTACTACGACAACAAATATTTTGCCGCACACCTTCAGGTCTGTCACGTAAAGCGTTCAACGGACAACAGTTACATCTGTCATAGTTGTGGTTTCGCAGCCGAGGACGCACTTGAACTGCAAGGGCATATATCCAAACAACACGACGTTCAAACCGTCGATGCGGGCACCGCCAAAGAAAAGGCAGAACACCGCGACAAATGTCAGAAGTACATACCAGCGGTGTGTCCGGAATGCAACAAGACCTTTTCGAACAAGTACAACATGCTTGTCCACATGAAAAGTCACTCGCGCACTCCGGCGAAGTATCCTTGCGACCGATGCAACAAGAGTTACAAGAGCCAAACCAATCTGAAGTGTCACCAGAAGGTAGCCCACGAAGGCATACTGAGCTTTCTTTGCTCGCATTGCGGGGAAGCATTCCCCTCGAGAACTGCACGTGACGTCCATAATAGGATACATACCGGAGACAGGCCATATTCGTGCCAGTACTGCATGAAGTCCTACCGCGCGAAGAACACCCTGGACCGGCACGTGGAAATGCATCTAGACATACGGAAATACGAATGCCACGTCTGCCCGAAGAAGTTCAGGAAGCGGACCCACCTGAACTACCATTTGAGCACGCACAAGAGGAAGCAGCCAGCAGCGGACTAACAGGGTTCTTTTTTTTGCGTTGCAGATGGACGCACGGCCGCGTCAACCGCGATGCCTATCGCAGGGGACTTGGCACGGACGGTACAGACGGTAGCTCATCGGCCGCCGAGGGAAGCGTCGATGTAGACGAGGGATCGGACGACGAACGACCTTTGGCTGCGCTAGCCGCGAAAAAGTCCACCGACCTGTACAACACTTTCTATAGGGCGCTAGTAAACTTCCGAAACCATTTCATTTCGGAGCATCGGCCCGACGGGAGCAACTGTCCGGTGTTCACCGACTCGAGCGACTCCGAGGAGATGGTGGAGGAGGTGGGACGCGAAAACTGCGACACGGACGTGGACGAGTACGACGATCTGAGCTCGCGGAACATGCGGAGGGACCGGATGGACGAGCGTACCAGGCTGGAGCTGCACAGCGCCCAGCGCAGGGTGGACGGGAAGGTGTGCTACGTGTGCGATGTGTGCGACAAGAAGCTCAGCTCGGCGCACACGTACATATTCCACAAGCGGATCCACACGGGCGAGAGGCCGTGCGTGTGCCACGTGTGCGGGAAGCAGTTCCGCGCGCCGAACGGCCTCCAGCGCCACCTGACGGAGACGCACGAGCGGCTCAAGCGCCACCCGTGCGCCCTCTGCCCGAAGAGCTTCACAAACACGCAGAATCTGAAGCAGCACGTGCGCATCCACACCGGCGAGCGGCCGTACGTGTGCGCGCGCTGCGGCAAGAGTTTCACGCAGAGCGGCTCGCTGCACGTCCACTTGAGGACGCACAGCGAGCAGTACCCGTTCCAGTGCGTGGAGTGCGGCGCCAAGTTCCGCCTGCGGCTCGGCCTCGCCCGCCACCGGCTCAAGCACACCGGCGAGAAGCCCCACGCCTGTCCCCAGTGCGGCAAGGCGTTCAGGCAACGGCACGACCTGTACAGCCACACGCTTTGCCACAGCGACCCCAAGCCGCACACGTGCGCGATCTGCAACGCCTCCTTCAGGCAGCGCCGGGCCCTCAGGCACCACTGCAAGAGGCTGCACCAGAGCGAGGAGGCGGCGGACGCGAACAGTTTGGTCTTCGACGTGGGCCAGTACCAGTGACCGCGCGTGACGATACCGTTGTGCTTTAGCTCTGTACGTTAAATGTTTGAGGGCAATCGTGTTATTGATTTATTACAAGGTCGTGTTCGATTTGTTAAGATTACGTTTTACCTTTACAGTACAATTGTTAACGGAATAAAGACCGAGGTCAAATTGGAGACTTCGGACGGGGTGGAAGACGAAGCGTCGCTGGAAATTAAGCAAGAGGTCGAGTGGGTGAAGAAACCGCTGACGGTGACAGGCGAGGACGGCAAGAGGTACGCGCACTGCGGCCTCTGCAATAAGAAAGTGTCGACGGGCTCCTGGAGGAGGCACGCGAGGTCGCACCTCGGCGAGAAGAGGTACAGCTGCCACGCTTGCGGCCTCGCCTTCAGCGACAACGGCAACCTGGCGAGGCACGTGAGAGCGCTGCACGCGAACCACCGGCCGTTCAGCTGCCACCTGTGCGACAAGGCCTTCTCGAGGAGCGGCCACCTGCAAGACCACGTCAAGTCCCACTCCGAGAGGCGCGACTACGTTTGCGACACGTGCGGCAAGGCCTCCAAGTCGTCGGCGGCCCTACGGATGCACAGGAAGAGCCATCAGGGCGAGCGCAGGTTCCGCTGCGTGGAGTGCGGGGCGCAGTTCAAGCGGCGCGGCGAGCTGGTCGCCCACGTGACCGTCCACACGGGCGAGAAGGCGCACATATGCCCCTGCGGCAAGTCCTTCCGGCTCCGCGCCCAACTCACCGCGCACTCCAAAACCCACGCTTCGGGCAACTGAGCGGGGGGGGAGAGGGATTCGCTGACGGGCGCTTTGTTGCAGGTTCAAGGATCACGCTGCACTCGCGGCGCAAAGTCCTGAGGCCCCACGGTACCCGGTACCGGACGACACCAAAGGGCCAAGCGAAACGTGCGAGCGTGGCCGCCTCGAACAGTCCGTAGCCGTTTTCGGGGATCACCTGATCGACGCGCATTCGGAGGTCCTATTCCACTGCAGCGAATGCAACACGTATTCGAACGGGAAAGAGTTCGCGCAGCACGCGGGAGACGGCGACAAAGAAGCCAATAGAAGGTCGAGGAAAACAAAGAGGAGGAAAAACAGCAGGGACAAGAACGACAACGCGGTTAAAGCGGAAAAAAACAAGGCATCGCAGAACAAAGAGAACGTCGAGAAGATCGCTAGAAACGTAACGAGAGACAGTACAGCGGTGGACGACGAGACCCCGGAAAACGAATTCTCGGACCACAGCGACGTGGAGTACTTCGCGAAGCTGCCAGAGTCCGTTTTCCGGGCGATCGAAGACACGCAGGACAGCCAATGCGACGGCACCGACCCGCCCTCGCCGAACGTTCCAGACGCAGAGGCCGCAGAAAGCAAGAGAGAGGCAACCGCACACGACCAAAACGGATCCGAACCCCCAAAGAAACACAAACGTCCCCGCGCCTGCCCCATCTGCTCCAAGGTGTACACGGCCTCCTCCAGCTACTTCTACCACCTGAACTCTCACCGGCAAAGCGAGCACGCGTGCGACGTCTGCGGCAAGAGGCTGCGGAACAGGGCCAGCTTGGCGCAGCACGCCGCCACCCACGCCGGCGAGCGCCGCTTCGGTTGCGCGGTGTGCGGCAAGCGGTTCCGCTCGCGGGCGGGCCTGTACATCCACTCTGAGGGCCACGTCGGCTCCAAGGGCTACGCCTGCGAGCAGTGCGGCAGCGCGTTCAGGTGGCGGACCCATCTAGCGCGCCATTTGAAACGGCACTCCGCCGAGAGGGCGCACGTGTGCTCGGCCTGCGGGCGCGGCTTCAGCGTGCGCTCCGACCTCCTGCGGCACTCGCGCACCCACCGCGCCGGCAGCCACACGTGCGACGTGTGCCACGCGAAGTTCGCCCAGCGCAGGTACCTGAAGGTGCACATGATGAAGAAGCACTCGATAAGCATCAGCGGCGGCGAATTGTCGCAGTGAACAAGACTTGAAGAATCACTACTCCACCTTCAAGAATCAGTACTCCGCCGATGAGGTACAGTGTGATTTGTCGCAGTGAATAAAACTTCACTACTCCACCATAGAGGATCTATATATTGTTGCAACGGGAAAATTCCCACAATGTACGAGATCGTTGTTATTACGCAATAAGTAGCAAAATCGTTTTAGATAGATCTAAATAATGAAATATTTTTCGATAAAATTAAAAAAAAATGTCATGTAGGAATTGGTTTAAAGAATACAATTTCGTTGGCAATATTACATTGTTTTATTTCCAGTAACATTCTTATTTAAATGTATATGATTACACATTCCAACAAAATTTTCATTATTTTGTAATTACACTTTGTGCAATTCGAGACGCTATCGACGCTTCGATCATAAATTATTACAATGAACAAAATTATGCCATAAAAACCTGAGATCTAAATACTAGTGAAAATTTCCAATACAACTAGCATGGTGTTTAACAATTACACTCGAAGGTTAGATAAATTGACAAATAATTAGACGGAGTTTACACGACGTTAATTTACTACTAACAGAAATGAAATACATATAAAAATTACAGTTATATAAGTTTTTTATAGTAGGCACTTTAAAAAACTCGTTTTTAAAATGCCTACTTCGTAGCTGAGACAATATGGGAAATTTAATTGCTTTCAATATTATAAACATTCACAGCTTACTGTCTTTTAAATGCAAGCATGATGGCAACAAAAACTGGTTCGATTATTAGAATCGCGGCAAAACAGCATTGATTTTGGCATAAAAAATGTTTTTATTGCGGGCACTAAATGAAATAACTGCCACATTTTTAAAATATCTTCACTTTGTACAAAATATATCACAATTATTTTGGAAATCTTTTACTTAAGGTTAAATAAATAAAGATAAATTAATAGCTTCATATTGTAAATTATTGAGTTTTGACATATCTACTAGCTGATAAGTCCAAAAATTAAAGCAGCAAATTAAATCTGCTTTTAAAATGGTTTATTGTTAAAGAACAGAGCATTCTGTAATGACATAAAGTATATGAAAAAACCAAAATTCTTAATTAAATAGATCCATATAATAACAACTAATAAATAAACTTAATCATAAGCTAAATCATATATTATTTTACAAATAAATTCAAGGTATTACTTCATGTTATACATAAAATCCCTTACTTTTAAATATGTGAAAATTTGGTTCACTCCATATTTTTAGATATAATAATGGTGTTTATTTTTAAAACGTAACTTATGAAAATTCATTACGAAAATCAAGAGGATGACCTATAGACCAGCTGTAATACTGTGCATATTTGACTTCATCATTAGTTCTTTTCAAACTGATTTGAATACTAGCATCAATAATATTTTTCTCAACAATACAATCAATCAGCAGGATTTTTAAGAAACTCATCAACTATTATCAATGAATTGGATATGTTTATCGGGAAATGTTAATGTTATATTCATCATGAATGGAGTTTCCTAGCTTATCGTAATTTATATCTTCAGTTGAATATTTTTAAAAGAAAGAAATCATTTCGAACCAAGAAGATGATGAATAATTTTTTATACCAACATTATCTTTGTTTTATAATGGGATCATTTTAAGTGTGGCCATTTAACGGGCCAAGGGTGGTGTGGACCTCCCATCCAATGCTGTCGGCGAGCCACTTTCGTTTACTAGACGCTGACGCTCTCTGTACATGGAGACCTGGATGTTTTGTAGCTGGTGGTATCGGCACACTTTCAAAGTGGAAAACACCGCAAGACCCACCCACGTCGCGAAAGCGGCCCACGCTCCAAACTAAGAATAACAAAGGTATTAAATATTTTAAAAGTTGTCAAATATTAAATATTGAATTGAGCGCTTTCTTAAATTCATGGCTCATTAAATGTAATTTATAGAGCCGTGATAGCTCCAATGTCTCCAATACAATATATATGCAATATATGAGCAACCTAAGTTTAGTTTACTGTGACGGCTCTGATGTAATTTTTAATTTCTATTAAGTGCTGATTTATCACATGCCGGGTGAAGAAAACGTGCGTTTATTGTTACGAAAATGCGCGTTTTTCGAAATAATAAAAAATATATTTTGAAGATATGTGAAATATGCCAAACCGCATGAGGTAGCGTGGTGGACTATGTCTACTATGTCCATTGTGGGTAGTATTATCTAATACCAGTGTTAGTATTGTAGTGCTATTAATAGATTTTATGATACAACACATTCAATAACATTCCTTCCAATGCAAATATGATGCTTTAAAGTTACATAATACATAAGTTTATACATTAAAAAAAAATTACTTTAACTGATGTTTTTGCTTTCAGTCCATAAACAATTAAAGGCATAATGAGCGCAGAACTCATGGGTTAGACAGAACCCTCAATCTCTCCACATTGGGTAGGGTCATCATAAAGAAAGTATTGCATAAAGTAACTTACTTGAGCAGTGCCCATCTCAATATAAAAACCGTTAGTGGATATTTTGTCATGTTTGTCTATATCTTGGCCAGCAGCATCTTCACAGCTGAAACAAAGTTATTATAAATCAATAAGAAGATTCCCAACGAGACAAGTATTTGAGTTTGAGTGACCCACAGATAATTGCTCAGGATCTGAGTGTTTGTTCCCATGGAAGGTTATAAAACCCTCAGGCTTTTTACGACAGGAGCCTGGTCGTAAAAAACTTAGCTAATACCATTAAGAACATGATTAACAGGTTGTGCCAACTCCATCTTGGAATAAAGGCAGGAAAAGAATTTTATTATAATATTGTGTTGCCAAATTTTGAACATTCGTCCTTAGCAAAAGTGTAATACTTTCACTTTAACCCAGTCTTCTGCAAAGCCGCAGTATTTCTTCAGATGAGTCTATCTATTTGTGCATCATCATTTGTTTACATCGGACTCAATGAATATGTCTCCAATATCTTGTCATTCACGTTTCTATCATAAATACTATTACATATTTTCAAACACAAGTTTAATAGATAAATTGGAGAAAAATTTTCGGGCGGATTCGAGGCTGTGATTTACCGTACTGTACCCGAGCCAACTGAGCTCAGCGCCCAATATTTTTACAGCACAAAAATCTCAACAACTAACTAGTTTTTAGCAAATTTGGCAGAAGGCTTGACGGCATTCACATTTCACTTTTATCTAGAATGCTAACTGGCAATAAAAAAATAAAATAATCCTGAGTTAAATGATTTTAAATTCGACATCCAAACATACCTAGGAAACCTTTCTACAATAATCTGGCACCATGTCATAAAACCAAGGGTCACCATACAGGCAGCGGATACAGCCAATCCACAGAGAGTCATGCAACCCACTGCTTCAATAAAAGCTGACAAGAAAGAGCTATCCTGCCCCTTGTACATAAATATAGAAAGCCTGAAAAAAATTAATAGTTCTACAACTACTCGTAGGATAAATTATTTTAACAGGAAGACTAAACTGTTAATTCTAGTAGAGGCGCTGCACTCTTATAGGTAAAAATTGAATCAGTGTTTAAGTTTTCTAGCATTTGAGGGTTCTTGCAATTATGACTAATTATTATATTTTAAAATTTACATTTGTATACTACAATCAACTTGGCACTTATGAAAATATTTTGAGATAATATTGCAAAATTTTTAAAAAAACCACATTTTTATATTTGTACTATAACAATACTGGTATATTTGTGACAAACACATTTTTGTGATGTGTCTGCAATGTACATGCATTAGTGTAAGTATAACATTTATTACCTATATATCTGCACAAGGCAGACGATAAACATTAGTACACCTATGGCAATCACATAATTGCAGTATGCTCGAGATGCCCATGAGACAAGTAGTTGGCCATCTTCTTCCTGCCATGCTCCCTTTGAAAATAGCAGACAGTGACCTCTGTTGACACATAAGTAGTGTGATAATTTTAAAATTCACTATGTATCTATGTATCATGTATGCTCAGCTGATGAAGCCAAAAAAAATATTATCTTAAAAAACTAACAATTACATTTGTAGTAAATATAATTAAAAGGGTAATTTTATGAAATGCAGGTATTTATACTGTTGGCTTCCATCCGAAGATATTTAAGATAACATACAATAGATACTAGAGTATAATATCAGTTGTACAAATATTTGAGAACAAAGACCTCTAACTCTAATAAAATGTTCTCTAAGACTCTAATAAAATGTTCTACTTGATAACCAGTAATTTTTTCACTAAGAGAAACTTGTGTATCTAGGAGAATTACATTTCTGACTATACATATAACCACTATTAATAGGTTAAACTTTATATGTTAGTTTTTAAAGTGCTAATCTCTGCACTCAAGATGTTACATTAAAGTTCGAAAGAAAAACGATTGAAAAGTTAATGGATAAAAAAAAGTAGCCTGCTGAGTTTCTTTCTAAGGTTCTTATTTTTATTTTATTTTAAGACTTCATGCACATAACTCTGTACATAGGCGGACTTAATGCTGTCAGCATTTTCTACCAGTCAACCTTAGGGTGGTACCGAGATTTTGAGGTAGGTGCACAAACATTTAAAATATAAATATTTTACTAATTACACATAAATATATACATAATACAATACAATTAAATAAAATTTTTATATATAAATATATATATACTGTACTATAAATATATACATATACATAAATATATACACAAATACGCATACATATTTTTATGTGATGATATCATGAAACTGCTGGCAGCTTTCCCAAAATGTATTTCCGTGCCATTCTCTTAAAAGCAAGGCGATTCTTAGCCATTCTGATTTTGGGAGGAAGCTCATTCCAAAGAAGGATAGATTGAACAAAGAAAGAGGAATGGATAAAATCAGACTGATGAGGAGGACAGAACAGAAGGCGATTGTGTTTAGAGTGAAGATTTTTAGTGTTGACTGAACTAACGTATTGGAAGTGGGGAGCTAAATAAGGAGTAAATGGGGAATCAAGGTAAGAAAAAGTGTGGTCAAGGCTCTTAAAGAGCGTCGTTGTCGTATGGTTAGCCAGTTTAGCTGTGAACGATAAGACGATACATGGTCATATTTGCGGAGATTGAAAACGAATTGAATGCAGTTATTCAGAAGTCGGTCGAGTTTATTGAGATGATCTGCATTCAGGTCGAAGTAGCACACGTCACCATAGTCGATTAAAGGAAAAATTAAGGACTGTATGAGCGTTACTTTGGTTTTCAACGGCAGGAAATTCTTGAGACGGTAAAGACAGCGCAAGACATTAGTGACTTTTTGGCTGACACTAGCTATTTGATCTTTCCAACAAAACGTCCCGTCAATGAGCAAACCTAAATTATTAACCTTATTTTGTAGTGGGATGGGGGAGCTGTCAAAAATAATCGGTGGAAGGCTAACTAAATTTACTCTACTAACAGTACGGGAACTCCCAACTATTATGGCTTGACATTTGGTCGGATTTACAGTCAGTCCAAACTTATCTGACCAGGTCTTAATGGCGACTAAATCTTCATTGAGCTTAAGAATAGCCTCATTAAGAGTATCGATTGATGCCTGAGCATACAGCTGCAGGTCATCGGCATAAAGATGATACGCACAGCGAAGATTATGAGTGATAAAGTTTATAAAAACGGAGAATAACAGAGGGGATAGAATACCGTCTAATACCGAATTCTTCTCAGTTTCTGCTTTCTTTCAAGAACCGGGGGTAGTATTTTGGCTAACAATAGCGAGTGAGTTTAGTGCTCCTATTAGAACCTATTAACGGAAATACCAACATTAATGTTTATGACATTATAGTATACTAACCCAAACTCATCCTGGTGCATGCTCATGGGCACCACAATACAAAGCGACAAAATCAAACCTATAACATATCCTGCAATTTGGCTTAATAATAGGACATTGGTAAGTGCCATTTCGTTGCTTATTAAGGCGCAAGCCCTAAAATATTTTCGAAAAACAAAATGATGACAAATAGATAAATCGTAAATAAAGAAAAACTTAATGTCAAATTGACATTGTCAATGTCAATAATTATCAATCGCATTCTTTTTGGCGTTGAAACAGTAATAGCCGTTAGGCCAATACATCAATAAAGGATTATTTGTTTCATTATTATGTAATACACTTAGAATACATACATTTTTATCGTTCTATTATCTGACTACATCTATCGGTAGCTATTATCTGACTGTGTGAAATCATGAAAACAATTAATTTCTAAAAATTTATATTGCCAAATATAAAATTTTAGGCAATATAAAATTTTATACTGCCACTCTGCACTTACGAATAAACATTAAATTTAAAAAAAAAAAGGATGAAAAGTTTTATTCCCAAGGAAAGTTTCCTACATGTAAACGGCTGGTCATAAAAGACTTATTTAAGTAGGTATGGTATTAATACCATTTACTACATAACAATCTCGGCGGGATAAGCTCATATGAAAGAATCCTCAATGAATTGAAGGAGTAACTCTCAATTTTTTTATAAAGTTTATTATATTTTTTTGATTTCATTTAGCGTATTCTCTGTGTTAAGGCTACATGGCAGCTTCTGCTGTTGCATGAATTGGCAAGCTTGACTGGCTTAGTAGTTAGTACAATAATAAAATAGACTCACAGAAGACTAGCGTGAAGTGGAACTTATATTGCGTCGGGGAGTGAGGTAACGGGGACTAATTCATTGAAAGTTCATAATAAATCTGCCACCCCAAGTGTGGAAGTATAGAAAGTATAATCCGCCACGCATCCCCAATACATATTTTCAGAATTTACCTACATCTGTCTGAAATATTTTATGCATTATATTCACACAAATTCCATATAATGCCTTCCATAATTAATAAGCACCAAGCCTGCGCTAAAATTGTTAAAATGAAAGGATTTGCAACATGAAGATATTGATTCAATGTAACTAAATTAAAAACTTAAATTGTATTCCTAGTCAAACAATAATTTTGTTTATTGGATGGACCGAAGTGACGAAACAACAGTCACAATTCAAAAACATATAATAAGTACCTAAAGTCATAAAGTGTAATGTCAGAATACGACAAATCGGACGTTGATGATGTGTTTCAGTCAAATCAAAAAAATAAACTAAGTTAATTGAACTTATCAGCTTATATTATGCGTTTAGTCTGTCGTTGATATAATACCGCATAAAAAGATGAATTTTAACGCTTCTAGAAATGGTAAGAACGAACAGATTTCCGAAGTGTCACATGTTTAAAATTAATCTTAGTACTAAAATACTCCAATGTTATGGTTTTTATTACTAATTATCGGTGAAGAACAATATATATAAATTGAATATTATTGTTAATCTTTTTCTTTGAAAGTTATCCTATATTTATCATTCATTATTGCATTTTGTTGCCTCAGTTAGCCTTTCAGGCGGTCCAAGGAAGGCGAAACGCGTAAGCGATGTCTCTGCTTTGGGTGCCCCGTCGCCGGGCCCACAGTACAACCCCAATACAATGTACAACCCTGGATATCCACCATCTGGACCACCACCACCATATCATGAGGGGATCCAGTTAGGTCCTGGACAGGATTTTTCGACCTCTGAACCTTCAGGAAGTAAGTTCCGTAGCAAACAACAACATTTTGTCTCCAATTCTTTATTTCCTCTACTTTTGGGCAATAATAATTTCCCATAGGACTAATGCAATCTTTATTTTATAGTTTTTATCTAAAAAATGCAGTGACAAGGTTTGAAAAATAGGTTTTTGTCATTTAATGTTTACATTATTCAAGCAACAAGTTGCTAATTAATTTAAATTTAGTTGTTTTTTTGCCTTAGTTTTTGCTCATTATTACTATACTTAGTTCTTATAGATATCAAATGTAAACTTATCTACCAAAGTGTGTTGTCTCTTCCTGTACTATAGGATTACTAATATGAACACATATTTTTTTAGTTTATGCACAAAAAATACAATGACTTAATGATTATACATTTTTGTAGTTAGTAATCTGAATACAATTATTCTAGTTATTTCTAGATTTTAGGTTTCTTTTGGGTGTGCTGTATAGTACTCAGTTTGGGGTCATAAATAAAAGCAATAAGTGATTACTGGAAAAGTAAATTTAAACTATTTAAAAATCAACTATAATTTCATTGATGTAGATAGTTTATATGTGAATATTCTTGTTCATGATAACTTGTCACTATTTTTTTTTTCTGTTTTTTACTTTAGAAAAACAGTTTATTTAATGGACATCCTTAAACAGCAGTCTTGTCTTATAAAAAAGTGCTTAAAAAATTTCAACCCCTTTACCTGTCTACCAAGGCTTTTATAGTGACAGTACTATACAATACTATATGAGTAACTGATAATAAGTGGTATTGATAACTGTAGAAAGGAAAATATATCATAATATATTAATTATTAAAAATATAATCATATCTGTTTTGGCAATGAGGGTTGTGGGTTTAACTCCCACACAGAACAAGTTGTATGACCCACAGATAATTATTCTGGATCTGAGTGTTCTTTCCCAAGGAGGTTTGATTTCAGGCTAACGGCTTGTTTTGAGAAACATGATTTGCATGTTATGAAGACCCCACATAGTTGGAATAAGGGCAGGAGGAGGATGATGATGATTTGTCGTTTAATCTTTTCTTTACTAGGGTTTAAAGACTAGATTCAGCATTGTTTTTGGACTGTTTATTAAAGCTATTAATATTGTTATAAAAAAATTTAAATTAATTTACTTTACTAACTCCAGGTTTCTGAAAAATGATCATCTTTTTTTTTCTTTCAAACACCTTTCTAAACGGGGTGTTTCTATATTAACTGTTAATTATAACTAATATCATGTTAACATATATTTCAGGTTTTGGATATGCAGGTGGCTTTGCTCCTACTCCAATGGCCTCACCGGCACAAATTGGTTCCTTTTTGCAACAGCCTGCTGTTCAGGTAATTATCAACATTCATCTTGCTTGTACCTATAATCCCAGCCATAGAACTTATAGCTTATAAATGAGATGATGGCATGATTGTAGAGCCATGACATAGTCAACACATGACCGGAAAACATAAAACTGATGTATTCACACTTTTATGTTTCATCTGTTGTATGTCATTCTGGGCACTTAAAATCCACCATATTGAAGGTGATGTTGCAAATACCCACAGGTTGTGATGCTTTACTGAGAAATGCAAGTTTATTTGCTATTTCTTTAAAGGATAGAGTACAAACAATGTTGTACAAGTATAAAAAATAAAGTCTTTGTTCAATTTGGGTTATTATAAGCAACTATTAATTATATAGATAGCCCATGGAAAAGTAAGGCAGGAATCAAATAAGGAAGCATGAGTTGACTCACTATAATGATTACATGATTATTTATACTATTAACCAACTTACAGATATGCAAATTATTAATAACTAAATATATATTGTACTTAATGCAAGGTTTTACTAACAACCATTGAATGCTGGCTTTAACATGTGTCATAACAAACATTGATTTTCCAGGATATGGCATTACAGTATGGAAACCAACTAGCTGCACAGGGTCGGGAAGCGGTACAAAGGGAACTTGGGCGCTATGTGCCAGTTTCCCGCCTAAGATACTACTTTGCGGTGGACACCCGCTATGTCATCAAGAAACTGTTACTTATAATGTTCCCTTACACACATAAGGTACTTAATTAGTTCAGGAGACTTTCCGTTTTCTATTTTCCATTGTTTTAGATTTTTAGTTCACTTTAAAGAGAAAAAAACTTGTAGCAATGTTTAAATAATAATATACCATTTAAATATGGAATCAAATAGAAATAAATTTACCAAAATGATCACCTCAAATTGATTATTGTTACAACTAACACAAGTTAAAAATCAGTGAATGAACATATTGAACTACAAATTTCTATCAAAAGCAACCTAAAAAAAATTACATCGTAAGTGAAAATTTATAAGGTACTAGTTTATAAAATGTTATTACTTAATATTTCAATAATTAATACAGGATTGGATGGTGAAATATGATCAGGACACACCAGTCCAGCCACGTTACGACATAAACGCGCCGGACCTTTACATACCTTCAATGGGATATGTTACTTACGTGTTATTGGCGGGCTTCATGCTTGGTAAGTTTATTATTAAAAACTTTGGATTTGCTTATCTAATTATATAATAGTAGCTGTTAACCGCGCGGCCAACGGAAATTTACAATGATTTAGTATACACCAGAATATCTCGTAGATGGCTGAATTTTTATACGTATATTTTGAACAGTTCACACAATATCTTTATAAATTATAGCCTGTGTGTTATTCTGATGTATCAGCTATATTATTGTAAAGTTTCATTAAAATCTGTTCAGTAGTTTTTGCGTGAAAGAGTAACTTGCATCCATCCATCCATACAAACTTTCGCCTTTATAATATTAGTAAGGAAGTTAGGATGTAAAATAAATCTATCAAAGGTCATTTTTATTATAATATTTAAATTTGGTTCTTGAATATAGGCATACTATATACGTCTTCTTATATTAAATATGTAATACCAGAAGACATCCACTAAAACAAATGTATCTGTTATACTATTAGATGCTATTGTTTATATATAATTATCATGATAATTTTGAACGAATTGAGATGGGAATTCCTTCTCCTAAAAAGAGCCTGACTGCTGTCTGGAATCAATTCATCATTGCCAGTTTTATGCACATAGGACATTACTTGCTGAGATCTCCATAGCAATAATGTGTGTGTATGTTAAGTTAAAGATTTTTTATTCATGATTATTATGCATTCAAAGTGAGTGGACTGTAAGAAACATTTTATTATTTTCAATATTTTAATTGAAATTTTTACAGTGTTTGAAGGAAATGTTAAAGAAAGGAAGATTTAAATATAAATATATACATATTTTGCATCTTTTGAGTTTAAAATGTATTTAATTTCAGGTTTACAACATAGATTCTCACCCGAACAAATTGGAATTCAAGCATCAAGCGCTCTTGCATACATAATTTTTGAAATGATCCTGTACCTTGTTACACTGTATGTTACCAACACTACGACGAACCTGAAAACTCTGGACTTGCTAGCCTACTCGGGTTATAAATACACCACTATGATTGGAAGTCTCCTTGGTGGTTTGATGCTGGGCAAGACTGGATACTATTGCAGCTTGCTCTATAGTAGCTTTGCTTTGTCTTACTTTTTGGTAAGTAAATGGAGGTTTTTGCTTTAATTAAAGTACCTTTGTCATATTGTAGTAGCAAGTTTTACCACTAAATTAAACACTGAAATGAAGGATGCAACTTAGTTTATCAAATGATATATTTTGAATCTCAAGGAAATCTTTGCTTAAAGGTTTGTGAGTGCCTGTATTATCTATTGTATGTATTTTAAAAAGTCTTAACAGAGACATTTAGAGGTCTAGGCCCAGCCGTGGGCAATATACAGCGTGTCGTTACAACCGCGACTATAAATAAACACACATATAGAGGGGAGCTTTTAAAAATTGTATTAAACATTTACGCACTTTAAACATCAATATTCACCGAGTTATTAAATTTTCCAAAACAAACAATTTTAGAACACTCTTACATATAAAACTGTAACGTAAAGTTCATTTGTAAAGGTCACAAAGCATATGAATGGGTTGAATGAATTTAAAAGAGATAAAACATACTGTTAGAAGTAGAGACTTGTAACGCGACGCTGTGGCAACGAATGCAAAGTCTCCGAATGTATGAATCACTCAGTTTTAGCTGTATAGGATGTTACAAATTTTGTTTCTTTTTTATTTAATTAATTTGTTCGAAAACCATTTTTTTAATAATGGATTTTTTTTAATTTTCTATTTTTTTATGATTATTGGCAAGTAGTATTAGACATGTGTTCATTTATTGTCACAGTTGTAACGACACGCTGTATAAGCTGTTACTTTACTTTTACTCTTTATAAATGTATTGATTCTAACGAAAAAGCATTATATTTTTTTGAAAAAAAAGAAGCATACATTCAATAACAAACTATCTTCTGGACTCTACAGGTGAAAACTCTTCGCTTGCAACTGCTGTCTGGCTCGCAGGCTCCGGAACAGCCGGCATATGGCTACCCAGCCGGCTACTCATCACCCAATCCGTATGCAGACAACTGGTCCAAGCCCACCGGTGGGGGAACGAAGCGTAGGGTTTACTTCCTACTGTTTGTAGCAATAACCCAACCTCTGCTATCATGGTGGCTGACATACCATTTAGTTCCTAGCCCCATTCCGGAACCGATAACACCGACAGCCCGATAGCGGGTCGCAAACTCCCGCCACGGGAGCGACTTCGTGATTTTAACTAGATTATAGCGTCAGTCATTTGTTAGTAACAGAGCCTTATGATTTTGTTTAGTTAATCACATTAAAGATTTTATATCTGCTTTAGATTGTCTTCTAAAATTTTAACAAGTACTAAAAGTAACTAGCACCGAATTGTGTCAGCATTGCATATATTATGGCAATGAAAGAAGTACAGTGTGCACAATGAACAAAAAATGTCTAGCATACAGTTGTAACTTTAAATATAACAGAGCACTGATTGATCCATTAAACCTCCACTAAGGATACAGCAAATATACAACTACTTTTATGATAAAAAAAAACATTTTAGGAAATATTTAGAAGAATAACCTCTTATAATGTATTAATCATGCATTTTAAATATCAAATTGTTTTCGTTAATTCGACACTTGGTTCTATTTTATGCCTATTCCTTTGAAATTTTCTCCTATTGTATTTTCACATGATAAATCAATTTACGTAACCATTCAAGCAGTCTATATTTTACTGCCAGGACTTCATTGCTTGTTAAATCGGTGTTAAATTGATAAAAAATAATCCATAAAGTTGCTGTCATCGACTTAAATCTTAATCTTACAGTCTGTTAATTAATATAGCTTGTTGCGCGGGACATTGATATACAAATATGGAGCTTGTATATGAAATTCCGTATTTTTTAAACAAAAATGTGCATAACACAATGTAGTACTTTATTTCGTCTGTCGATTTAGTTTATTAATGTCAATTTCCCGCGTATTATTATATATTTATCAAACTGTAGTAAAGACATTGCATTGAGGAAAAAATTAATTCATCCATTCTCTTCGTCATTGCATTGCCAGTTTATCATTTGTCTGTTGCAACATCCATGGTTAGTTAGGTTATTAAAGATCCTAAATAACAAAAAAACATCATGTTGGTCACACAAATTGTATTGAAATTTCGTGATATATCACTTCCATTCTAAACTAGGCATTTATGGTGTTTAATTACTCTTATGTTGCCAGTTAAATATTTCCAAGAACTGTGTCCAACATTTTTCAATGTAGTACTTATTCTCCAAACAAAAATTGATAATTTTTAGATATTACTTAATATCCGATATGTCCTGTAGAAATATTTAACAAAATTGTGTAAAAATGCAAAGCTAATTAACTACTTAATGGACTATGTTGATGAATACTTTTGTTTTGTTAAAGGTTTGATAACAGTAAAACGGCTAAGTTACTATTATAAATTCCGTACTGTTGTTGGTTAGATTTATTGACGCATCCATTATATGGGATATAGTGAAATAATGCGTTTCTAAAAGTTCAAAACTCTCACGAAATGAATAAACAAAAATATTATGTAAAATAACTCGCGCATATACGAGCATTAAAACCCTTTGCTTTTTGTGCTTTAACGTTTCATTTTGTAAAAACAGCTTAATGTGGTTTAAACAGGATCTATGTATAACTGTAAAATTGTACATAACCTCGTTTTACATTTTATTATATAAAGTTTATTTACCACTCCTGTGTTTTCTTATCCCTGTATATGTAAAAGTAAGCGTGGATTTTAACCAGCAGGGCTGTGCTTATAAGTTTCTTAGGCATGAATTGTACTAATTAATTGCGACACATTAAAGTTTTATACGAATGGTTGTTACGTTATTTTCATTTCCTTTAAAGCTTTCATCTTAACAAAAGTAAAAATAAACGTTTTAAATGTTTAATATTGTATATATCTATTAGAAGTTCATTTCTAGTGAACTCTACGAAGATTTGCAGAACTGTTGCAGTTGAAAGATAATTTTTAGAACAAAACGTAGCGTGAATTCAAATTTAAAAACTGGTACATAAAAATTTAAATTGATCTGAACATAGCTGCAGTTTTTCATTGGTTACCGTCAAACGACCTTGGAATATTCTATCGGTATAGTGATGCTCAATCAAATAAATTAGTTCAAGCATTAATGTGTCCATTTTTCATTTAATATAAAATTGATAAATGATTTATCGTAGTTCTTTGTAAATTTAAATTTTTATATACTGATAAAATTACTAACAACGGAACTTCATAATAAATACGTATAGATTACAATAACATTTTTATATTAATGATTACTCTTGTGTGTGTTGATCTTGTGAGCGTTCGCAGAGTGAAGAAATGTTTTAATTTGAGTTGAATTGATTCTGTAAAGTGAAAAAAACTTAGGGAATTTATATCAAAATAAAACTCGAAAAATCCATAATTCAGTTTTATTTAATCATTTATATTATTCGCACAAACACAAAAAATAATTGAATGAATGAAGTCATTTTTACTCAACTTTCTACGTAGTACATCACTAAAGTAATCAGCTGGTAGTTGTCAAAACGCGGGGCTGCCAACATAACAACCTTAACATCTGCGAATAATTTCACGTTGGCCATGCGCCATACACAACAGCCGCAGAGCAGTATCGACAAACGTTCACATAACATTTAGACGTAATAAATATAGTGTCACTTCTCTTCATATATTTTAGTATTAGATTATTCAAACCTCAAACCTCTACGTTTTAGTTGTTTAAGTGTTAAGTGTAACCTGTAATGTTTGAATAATGCATAGTGCCGCAACCGTATACGCATTTTGAAGTAATTACGTAATGGGAATTATGCTAGAGAAGTTTAGAGTTTTGCCCTGAAATTCAACATGGCCGCTGACACGGGAATGGATACTTGCCCCAGTCCGGAAATTACGGACTCCAGAAAACGACCACTTGACGGTGATTCGGAGAATGGTGACATCAAAAGATCACATTTTAGCTCAGGTGAGTGGCCAACGATTCGCATTGATTGATTTGTTTTACTTCATTGCGTATTTGGCAAGCAAAATTAACATTGACATAGTGTAGCCGACCCTGGTACTAGCTAAGTTCCAACAAGATTCTTATCAGAAAGTAGCGCTGTTATCACTTTGACCTATTTAAGTGATAATATAGCAATTACGAGTGGAATAAGTTGGTAAATTCTACTAAAAGTGAAATCAAGTGATAAGAAACATAAAATACGTTTGAACAGTGTTTTACGTAGCCATATAACATTTCGTAATGCCACGAGTTTTCAAATCATAATGATTAATGATACGCAATGTAACTATTATAGGCAAATTTAAATGTAGGATTTTTACTTTTTGAGAAGCTGCAATACTATAAGGATTGTTGAATAAGAAATTTAAGTGTTTTAATTGTATGAAATGTTAAAAGATGGACGTTGTTTTTTAGTTCAAGACTTGGTGACGGCCTTGCCACTGGCCAACGGCCATGGCAATATAACGTCTCATTTCGGTGAGTCGTCAGCCTGTACATTCGTTTCGCTCCTCATTGGCTTTGTGGTTGTTGGTGGCGCGCATGCCTCACGCGCGCAATCGCTCACGTACCACCTTTGCTGATGTTCACCGCTCCGTTTAAGTGGTCGCCGCGCGTCCGCGGTGTGTGAGCATGCAGCGCAGGTGATAGCATCTATCGTGAACTCCTCCATAGCACCGTAAACATCGCCTCGATGTCGTGAGCCTTCGTATTTAGCGTCACACCGACCCCCCCACTCATGGCTTAGACGTTGCATCGTTGGTGTGATCATCACCTCAATGTACAGACTCTCCGTTCATCCTTTGGTTTACTGGCAAATTTACTCTTCTTGAAATTTTTTATTTCACATCTGATCGCTTTTATTCGCTTCTATTTATTTGAAGTCATCTAAACTAACCAATCTAAATATATTAACATTATTTGCATCAACTGTAATGTACTTTGATTAATTAATGTTACACTGTAATTAGGTAAATAGACTGGCACCATTTCATACATCATGATAGGAAATGTTAGTTTTGTGTAAGTGATATAGTTTGAGTAAAAATGTAGCTTGTTTTCAATGAATGTGTATGGTTCAGGTGATGACATGCAAGGTCATTGTTGAGTCTGTTTTATAATTGATTTATTCTATTTTAAACTGAATAGACTGTGGAATAAAGTAGGTAGTGGTTTGTCTAGTTTTACAAATAATTTCAAGGTTGTCAGAGCCGACATGTTGAGTTGTGGGGACTGGAAGCTTTGTTTACATTGTACAACAAATTCCCATTTAGGTTTTTTTTTTACTTTATATTATATCCAGTTGTTAATTGAAATTTAGCATGTCATAGAGATTTGATGATTGACTGTTTGCAAATGTTGTAACATATTTGGTGTTTAGTATTAGGCAATAGGTTTGGATTTAAATTTACTTATAAGGCAATACTAAAGTAATACCATAAATATATTGTGTCCATATTACTTAAAATATTTTTGCTGACGTGTGTCATTAAAAAGTGAAAAGAAATTGGATATAATTGTTTTTTAAACAATTGAGCAAGAGTAATTTTAAATAAGCAATTTCAAAGATTGATCAAAATTACAAGGTATAATTATTGGGAAATGCATGATTATAGTCTTGAGAATTGTATTACATAAAATACATTTGATATTTATGCAAAAATCACTAGTTTAAAATAAGAGCGATGAAAGTTTTACTGAATAATAAAGTGACTTGAGTTTGATATATATTTTGATTTGATTTATGTTATTAATTCCAATAAATGTAGTGTTTCTTCATAACATTTGTGATGTTAAGAGTAATTACATAATAGCCCCACCACATCATTCGTTATTAGCACTCTGACAAATAGGGTGTGCTGTCTAACTAGGAATTACGTTAGTTTGCTTGTCACAAATACCAGTTTTGACCGTTATTTGTAAATATGAAAGAGCCTTGGGCGTTTCCAAGGCCTGGGTGTGACTGCGCCCATCCCATAATGTGCAAAGCAATCCTAATACCCCGAGAAATTGTCAACTAATCGAGCAAATTTTATAGGCTTAGTTTTTAAAGCCGGGAAGCCTTTGTTAATTCAATTTCGACTCGTTACGAATCGTTATGACAGTCACTTTTTCAGTACACTTCAGGAGATCCCTGCACCGATGGCTCGGTGGTTAAAGTAGTCGCCTTATCAACTGCTATTGCGCGCCGCGTTACATGTTCAAAACGCGAACGGGACGATAATAATTTCGATTTGTTATTTCATAGCTCGTGTTGGCGGTACTATTGCTAGTTTAAGTACTTGTAGTTTGTCTAGTAGTTTACATTGTTTTAAGTAAACGTAAGCAACAGCCTATACATATTCCGCTGCAGAGGCCTGACCTGTGCTGAGGGTAATAGGGCGTAGTCCACCACGCGACTCCACGGCAGATGTCGTGTTTTCGAATTGTATATATTTCTTGTTGTATTGTTTAAAGTTATTATTTTATCGACGGTAAAACGATAGGCGGAATGGATGACCCTACTTAGGGAGTGGGTTTGTGGCGGCAAAAAATGCAACGTAAACATTCTGTTTCACGCAATAGTGTGACGTAAGCTGTGTGCGATCACCGCGTATCGCGCGCCGTTTAAAATGTCACGGCGCCGTTTAACTAAACATGTGCAATGTTTTTTTTGTTGTAATCAACGATGTTTTAATAAAAATGGCGCATCCTGCGCGGCGTTTAAAAATTGTTTCGCTACTCATTATATTATATGACATATATAAGTGAATGTGACAGATGATATATAACATACGGAGAGATAGCGGTCTATAGAGTTGCGACGTATTTACACCAGTTGGCGTAATTTGAGTGCCTCGGTTTCGATTCGCTAGTCTCATATCTACCGCTTAATTGTATAATATCATTGGTTCCAACACGAACCGATATCCAATCTAATACCGGGATGTTTGTGGTCGTGAATGCTTCATTCATTTGTCCCGTGGGAAGCCAATTATTTTACACACTACATATATTGTATCAATTCGCGATAATATCTCTTTTTTTAACTGTCGCAAAATCTTTCGCAGTTGCCAGCATTTTTGATAATTACATTTAGGTTCGATGTTGCCAAACGAGCAGACGGGTCACCTGATGTTAAGTGAATACCGCAGCCCACGGACCGTAGTTACACCCGAGGGTTCCAGATGCGTTGACAACCTTTTGAAAATTGGGCTACGGCAACCTCACTCACCAGACGAAACGTAAAAGTAATATACTTCCACTTTACGCCGGTCTTCTGTGAGGTCGTGGTACTTACCCGGAAGCCTGCCCATTCGTGCAACAGCCGAGACTGCTGCGTGGCCCTATCACCGTTATTTTACTGTATGTAGCAACATTATCTGTAATACGCCCACATGGAAGATAACCGGTAAATATAATGGCGGTACTGCACTATATGACGTCACAAGATGGCGCCATGTCAGGCCTATCCTTAATCGAATCGCATTTTAGAGCAGCCACGTAATTATATTAAACTAGGTAATTTTTAAAAACCGACTAATTAAAATGCGAAAAGAGCTAAAAACTGAATAAAACTGCTTTAAGAGAAAATGACTCATCGTAGCTGCTAAAGCGAGGTCTAAAGTTTGCAATGTTTTTATATGTGAGGTGCCAAATGAGCTGATGGTTCACCTGATGTTAAGTGATAGCCATTAGCAACTGACATTTGGAACAGCCGAAGGGTTGCAGATGCGTTGCTACCTTTTAGTAAAGTGGGCTGCGGCTACCTCACTAACCAGACGTAACGCAAAAGTATAACACACTCCATCCACTTCACGCCCGTCTTCTGCGAGGTCCTGGACCCGGACTGTACTGCCCATTAGTGCAACAGAGACGACTGTTGCGTGTCTCTACCACAGTTATAGTTAACAGTTTATATGGAGGATTGAGGAAAAGTGTATAAGTATGTAATATTTGTGGCATATTCGTATATATATATATATATATTCGACCGGAAAGGGGAGTATATACGATAGTTCAGGCAAGTACAACGGCCTCGCAGAAGTCTGTCGTGAAGTAATTACGGAGGGGAGAGGATTAATATGAATACGTATTTTCTTACGCCTGTTTCATCTCCTTTAGAGGAACCTCATTGCGAAACGGAGGTAGATTTAAAAACTACCTATCGATAGATGAAATTTATATTCCTTACTTCGATGAATAAACGATATGATTTAATACTTTTGAAATTCATCTGGTGATTGATTTAATCGGGGCCTTATCTTTTAAAAGGTCGCAATCCGCAACTCAACTGGTGTCGTAGATTCTCCCTGCAGCGGTTATCACAACACAAGATAAACAACCTGATTTCTTGATAACTAAGTGATTTATTTTAATTTCAAAAACTTTATGTAAAATACTAAAAACAGAATAATAAATATTTAAGTGGGGTTTCAATACAACAGACACAATTTGATTTGGCGATTTTTTAGATAATGGTACGGAATTTCGTGCCCGAGTCCGTTTCGCACTTGGCCGGTTTTATTCTCCATTTACGTTCGTACTGTCTACGTTTACCACGATAAATGGCCCGCGCATAGAGATTGTAGCCAAACCGTATAAGCTCTGATTAAAAGCGAACATGTGCTTTGTTTGACACGCGAAGAGCGCATGCGATCACACGTCCACACTGTCAGACAGCTGAAGCAGAATTGGAGTCGCCAACGCCCCTTATCTGTAACTGGCGTTTTGGCTTATAAAGCAGAAACTGGATTTGACTGGAATGCAAACCTAAATAGGAAATAAAAAAAATGTAGAAATAAACGACGGCGATTGTACGTCATATGTCCAAACAATTGTAATTTGAATTTATTATTAAGTGTAATTTTAAATGCGTATGAAAATACACGGATAAAAAATATAATTATGTGCGTAAATTCTATGTACAACATACATAGCGAATATCAATCGAAATATTCCTCAAATCGATTGCTTCATTTCCTTATTATTTAACCGGATATCGATGACGGAAATGGAGAAGAGTCGATGATCTAAAAGTCACGGCATCGTGTACCCTCCTGGGGCAGTTTTGAAATCATAAAGGGGAGAAGAAAATATGCGTGACAATCGCGCGGCGAGATCAAAGGCCGGGCCGCCTTTGTGTTTCCCGGGGACTACGCGTCCCGCCCCGCCCTTAGGGGATGGGTAGTGGAACGAACAATAACCACTTCGCACCGTCGCAATTCACGAATCATTCGGCCATTGTGCACGCTTTAGTAGCCAAACAAACGGCCACAGAGGGGCGAAATGTGAGATACAACAGTAGCATAGTTTGCTAACGCAGTTAACTGTATCAGTTGGGATATGTGAGTTAACGCAGTATCAAAAAGCGTGGCATCCAAATGCCCCAATTTGCGCTCTAACTGTGATTTGTGTTTTCGACCAATACGCAATGATATGATTTTTTTTTATCATTTAATAGTGGTTCCATGCGATTTCATCTGCGAGAAACCTTTCTGCTTCGTCCCCGTAGGTCGTAGCGTGATGTTAAATATGTACCTCTAACCTTTCCCCAAGAATTGGGCTATAAAATGTAAAGAGATTTTTCTCGAATAGAAATCCGACTGGTGTCTTCATAGATTGTTGCGTTATTAAAACAAACAATTATTTGTACAGATGATACCAAACGAATGGCTTCCACAACTCGTCGTGACCCATTTATTTCGTGGCAAAAATCCATTGTGTATCTGCCACCAGATCAAGGTATGTTGGAGTCGCGGTCAGAACGGGTATGAA